ATTGCATGAGTATGGGTACTACATAGTACGCCATCATTACGACTGCTTGCATATGCATGCATTGCTAGTCGATATGAGCTAGCCCTGCGTCCGCGCGGTTTTATACTAAGTCTCTAGCGCGACGCCTATCTGATTTTCGCATCGGAGAGCTATGGGATGACTACTAAGGGACTAGGAGTGTTGTTGCGTTGTTTGTTCTGTGYCSTTCTGTATATGTGCGCGTGCGTGCGTATTTTAATTTTTATGTTMTTAGAGTGGTGTACGTGTGGTGCGTGAGATGCGTCCTAGTCGACTGACGACGRGTCGCRCTTGTGACTTCAGCCCCCCATGACGTCGGTTCGCGTGCGGCTCCGATAGAGGTGTAAAACCATGCGTAACCCATATGCTATAGCGAACAAGAAACGCCATCGTCCACCTCTGCGATTGCAGCTGATTAACTTTCGTACTGTGGAMTGGTAGCTCGGYGGGGATACGCCCACCAAAGGGAGGTGACARCTCCYGTAAGGTGGAGGTAAGTCGTACCTCGCGTAGGCCYTATCCTGTCGTAGGGGCTCGCAAGAGGTATGGCTGGCGCACTCGGCCGGAGCGGCTTGCGGAAGCTCCTTATGTATTCGCGATGAGGATCAGACAGACTCCTGCGTGACACRGCCRAGAGGGTCCCGCCTCGTTTTGTGCGGTGCCGGACCGACGMGCTCGACAAYGGGAACCGGTCGAGCTGTTCGTGGAASACTCTRATCTCTCCTTATAGAGAGGGTTGATCCCAACCGMGAGTAATTCGTCTCCCTGCAGCTTACTTCCCATTGATACCTTAGAATTTGAAGATCGAGAGAATTGAGATCCCCCACCTCCCCGAGTACCTTCCAATCTCCTATCCTCTCTATAAACGTTGATACTGGTTTCTCCCTGTCCYCCTCCTTGAAACTGCGAGCCGAAATCCGCCACTCCCCGAGGATTGGGAACTCCCCCATTACCTCCTAGATTCGAGTGCCATTGAGGCTCTTGCTCATTCCTTKGTATTYTGAGTCCTTGCGACGRCCGGTCGTAACCTAGTCTATGTAAGCCTATCGTTTCCTCTCCCTGCCTCGTGCACTGRTTCTCTCGAARAAAATCTAGGTAGCCATATTCTTGGAATGGTCTCTCGACTGACGGGTAGTGAATTCTACCATCGGAATAAATTGAGTCGTAATGAGGATTGTGTGAGTACGGTAGAAAACCCTRGGGAGTAGGTGGAGGGAGGGGGGGGGGAGGGTTRGGGGGAGGATAGCACTTGTGCCAGTGAGCAGGATGTGTCCAAGGTGGCACCAGTGAATTACCCTGGATCTGACTCACATCAATCGAATAAGGATCAACCGGTATTGGCCGATGGGACAGATCTTGGTAGCCGCCATGAATGGGAGGTATCCYCTGCARTGCCGAAAATCCCACCCAGTGCGGACGAAAGTTCGCATATTGAACGACTTGTGAGTGAGCTCCTTGCYGCGCCGGTGTTGGAACACCAGTGCTGGAACAGGATGCGGAGGGCCGATTGGAGGAGSAGCCGACAGACGACCGATCTCTTGAGAGAAGCAGGATGCTTGGTTCTCTGGGTCTCTCMTGTATTGCGGTTGGTACGRTTGAGGTGCARAYTGTCCCGCAGGGATGTCCRCTGCTGCTTRACTTYCTTCTCTTTGAGATGCAGGCGCTGTTTCCGACCGTTGACGAGGCCGCGGTATAGCAGTCCACTGTTTCCTTRATCTTGAATCAAYAGCGTTCCTGGGACAGTTATCTTCCGTGTGGAAGTACCACCGACATTTTCGACACCAGTCTTAATAGGGAGTAGCGATCTCCACCTTCCATACTTCGCCTTTAGGAGATTCGATGGTCAGTGTATCGTCCACGTGAAGTCTGGCAYGGGGATCCATGTCCAGCTTGATGTTCATCAGTTTTGGACGACTCCTGTCTACCTCTGGTGTGTGCATGTGCTTCACACCCCCAAAGAGCCCCTCTGCTGCGCTTGGTAGGTAGTACATGGCTTCGAGCGGGACCCGAAGTGCGACAATCCAGAAATTGATCTCAGCATCCTTCAATCGTAGCTCCTTCAGCTCCCCTTTCATCATCCACGGCTTGAAGGTAACTGGATAGCCGACCCCCTTGAGATTAAGATTGGATGATCCATTCTGAACGAGCCAGGTGGGCACTTTGACTGCCTTAGCTACATAGGAGATAACGTTCGGACCTTCGAATTTAATCCTACCTCTCCTCACTTCTGGATTGAACAGCCGACGCGCAACCATCTGTCCTCATAAGCTCTCACCATGTCCTCTTTTACTCCCCTGGTTAGATTCCTCGATTCCTCCTGAAAGATGAAAATCACAGTTCGTTCTTTGAGCCACTTCCCTTTGATGGCCTCCGGGGATTCATCCACTCTAAATCTTCTACCTCTCTCCTCCTCTACTACCTCTCCTAGATCAGAAGCGAGGTGAAACCCCCCCTCATCGTAGCATTGCCCTAGAGAGAGGCGTACTCTATCCTACATATTCCGAAAATTCGGAGGGGGGGGAGCTGCATTTCGCCCCTCGGCTTCCATGTCACTCGTGACCTAGAGCGAACCCGATAAAAGTTACCTCTCTGCGCAGAAACTCGGACGCGATCGGTAATTGAGATCAGGATACACTTTACTCAGGCTTGCGGCACATGGCGGTTATGCCGCACCTATACTAAGAGCTATGGCTGCAGACGGGGCTAAGAGGGTACCTCCGTGAAGCCCTACCCGCTGAGGCGGGGCCCATGATGCGTGGGGGAGATGGCTTCTCGACATCCGTCGGCGATGGCGGAGAGATCGAGGAGGACAGGCGCAGGAATTACACCGCGGAAAGTTACCGGGGTGAAAAACCGCTACCCGCGCTGTTTCGGAGCGGTGCGCCTAGCGCAGACCCGCCAAGCCCCACCCGCCAATTTCGGGCGGCTCGGCAAACTGTGGAATCAKACAGAGAAGATTAGCACGGCGCCTGCGCAAGGATGACATGGATAAATCGAGAAAAAGTAGGAAAAGAAAATATCAGGAGGGKCATATCTGAAAATGAGCGGGGCCCTAAAAAAACCAAAAAAAAAAAAGTGCGGGCCCCTCACTTGGCGCCCGCCCGCCCGCCCATTCTCCGCGCCCCCGATCGCCCCGCTCCCGTCGGTGCCGCGCGGGGGCGGGGAGCGCTGGGGGGAGGGCGGGGAGCCAGCTGGGCGACGATTGCGGGGGGAACCGACCGACCTCCTCCGTGCTGCTGGACGGCGACACCCTCGGACCGGTCCGTGACTGTCTGGATAGGTTTTTCGTTTGCGGACCGGTCTGTCAGCAATGTCCATTCGCTGGGCGTTGAGCGCGGGTTGTCTTCGTGGACCTGGTCGCCGGGWGTTTTCGCTGGTTTGCCTGCGGTSGCCTGGTCCCGGTCGCCCGCTTTTTTGCGGTCGCCCATCCAGTTCACCTTCAGTTGTGATTGCTGTCCGGTAGCTGGCGCGTCGACCCTTCCTCCCAGCGGTWGTTGCCCCAGGCACCCGGTCGTTGGACCACWCCCGGCGGTCTTTGGCGGTTATWCACATCATTCGTGCGCGGCGGACCGGTGCGCGCACAGTTGCCGCGCTGTCCCACATCGAYGCCGTTGGTCGGCGACCTTTCACGCAACCGGACCTCCACAGCGGTCGTACGGGTYATCGGTCGTCTGCGGAATCTTCGTCAGCGCAAGCAGAAGCTCCCGGCTATGGSGGATCGTCTCGCTCACTAGYATACCTCTCCCCCCCCTCTTGGACACTTCTGCCCAACGCCATCTCCCTACGACCACTGCTCTATAGCCACACCATAGCCGACCACCTTTACCCTTCTCCTCTCTCTCTCTCTCTCTCTCTCTCTCTTCTCTTCTTGTACTCTCCGTGCAAGGTCACATAGCCATAGCTACCCGTCGTCCCCCTACCTTCTACATCACTGGTCCCCATCCCTTATCATTGCGCCCCCTTCCCTGCTCTTCCCCCCTCCCCCCCGGCCCCTCCCCGGGGCCCCTTCTTCTCCTGCTCCTGTGATTGCTACCTTCCCTTCTCTTCGTCCTCATCTCTCTTCTCCACTTCATGATTAATAACCCCTTGTTCTGATCAATCCAGTTGAAGCCATCAATCGCTAGTAAGGAGGGAAGGAGCGGTGTGTGTGTGGGGGGGGGCCTCATTTTATCGAGTCGATTGACGGACGGGGGTAGCGAGSGGGCCGCGGGCGAGGGAAGGGGTCATCTTATTCCGTTGGGTGATTAATCAGGSGGTTGCCTCGACAAGGCATTACGCATTTTTGATTATTTGGGCGACTGGTTGATTCGGTAAGCGAAGGGATCTGGATCCGACTCTGCCGTATGAGCGAGCGTCGGGATCGGGGCCCGGGATGTGAGAAGCTTGCGCTGTTGATCGCAATGCATAGTTGAAGGTTCCAGGAAAGTACACGTGGATGTGTTGGCAGATAGATGAGATAAAGGCCACGTGGGCGAGTGTGTATATTTGAAGATGAGACCAAGAGC